AAAACCCACAGAATCAGAGAAAATCTTCACCAGCGACGCATCCGACAGAGATTTAACTCCAGAATATATAACGAACTAAAAAAAAAAAAACAGAGAATCAACAGAAGAAGAAACCTATTTCAAAGGTGGGCTAAGGAGCTGAACAGAGTTCTCAAAAGAAGAAGTAAAGATGGCTATGAAACATCTTAAAAGTTGTTCAACATCACTAATAATTAGGGAAATGCAAATTAAAACCATTTTAAGACTTGCTCCAGTCATACTGGCTAAGATCAAGAGAACAAATGATACCAAATGTTGAAGAAGATGTGGGGAAAGGGGGAACACTCATCCACTGCTGGTGGGGCTGTAAATTTCTTCAACCCCTATGGAAAGCAGTGTGGAGAATTAAAAAACTACAAATGCCGGGTATGATAGCGCATGCCTTTAATCCCAGCACTCGGGAGGCAGAGGCAGGCAGATTTCTGTGAGTTCAGGGCCAGCCTGTTCTACATAGTGAGTTCCAGGACAGTTGGGGCTACAGGGAGACCCTGCCTCAAGAAAAGCAAAATAAATAAATAAAACCCTACAAATGAACCTACCATTTGACCCAGTTATACCACTCCTTGGCATATACCCACAGAACTCATCCTATTGCAGAGACACTTGTACATCCATGTTTGTTGCTCTCTTTTCACAGTAGCTAAGAGATGGAACAACCTAAGCGTCCCTCAATTGATGAGTGGATAATGAAAATGTGGTTCATTTATACGATTGAGTTTTACTCAGCAGTAAAAAAAGATGAAATCATGAAATTTGAAGGTAAATGGATGGATCTAGAAACCGTTACACTAAGTGAAGTAACGCAGACTCAGAAAAAAAAAATCGACATATATTCTCCCACATATGTGGATCCTAGAACAAAACCCTCATAAGTGAGTATGTATCAAGATATAACTACAGGAACCAGGATAATGGAAAGGAAACAGGGAGGTAAAGGGAAAGAAAGAACCTGAAAGAGAAGAACAGTCGAAAACAGTCCTTAATAAGGGAGATATGGATAAAAATTCGGTTAGTTTAAGGGAGGGGGGAGGGAAGGGTATACAAGGAACCTAGGGGATAAAGGGAAGGAAAGAGCTCAAGAGAGGTAGGACCATGGGAGAAGGGTATTAGTAAGGGAGAAAGGGGGAAATGGCACCTTAATTGGGGAAACCATGATGGAGGGGTGAGACAATGTGAAAGATAAATAATGCCTAGCTAGTTTAAAAACCAGAGGGAACCACATTACTCCAGCAACCCACTGACAAATTATACATAGCAGATCAAGAAATATTTGTCTACGTAAGGTTTATCTAAGAAAAATTGGTCTTTGCCCAAGACTTATCTACATGACACAAAGTAATTAAAAGTACAGACTGGTGGAACTAACCTTCTTGGATGTTTAACAGACATACTTTGAGATCTATAATAATTTGGTCAGAGGGACATAAGGGATAGTTTTTGCTCCTTTCCCTCCTAGGTCTACTAGTTCCAGGGGACTATGAGAATCTCTCAAAATGTCCTGTAATGGTGGTGGGTCTCCTGTTCTCTTGATCAAGGAGGCCGAGGAGACCCCACCAGATGGACTTTAACCAGTGTCCAGTCTATAAAAAAGGAGGGTCAACACAGAGGAATCATTTCCTCCATGTTTCCAAATGAAGCTAACCTTGGTTGAGCAGGACCTTTGATTTATCTTCACGTAAGTGGAACTGGTGAAAGAAAGGAGCCACGGGCTACTCCCAAGCCATGTGACCCCTGAGGAACAGATCCTCAACCTTAAGAGTAAAAGTAAATTGGTTTATCTGGGCCAACTCTATGGCCTTAAACACCCAAAAGGAAAGTATAACTAAAGATTAAAGGGGCCAGTATAATTTCATAAGATCATATGTATAGCTAAAGGCTACATAACAAGCAACAATGCCAGATAGGAGATACCTTCTTTTGAGCTGTTGGCCAGGGTGGCCAAAGGGACTCCCAGATAGTAACCCAGCATTGTACTGGGAAAGTGAATAGCAGACCCCAGTCTTATCTAAAGGAATATTGACAACTGATGTTAGATGAGGAATAGCTGACCTTCCTAAAACAAACACGTCTGGATAGGCTGACTAAATTCACCAGAAGGGCAAGTAGTGGGGAATGGCTGGGGATGCCAAGAACACCGCAGACAGTAACAAGGATATCATCGTATAAGTGCTCTAGTGGGGGTAGGGAGGTTATGGGAGGGTGCCTTCTGGAAGTGTGTGTGTAGTTGAATAAGATAGTTTGGGATGTTCTGTGTGATACACACACACAAACACACAAAATCAGCAAATTTTTAAAAATGTATTATATTGGAGGAGGAAGCATGGAAATTGACATTATGTTAATTGGTAGAGGTGATAAACTACCATTGAAATCTACCCGATGACTTTATAGATATACACAGGCGCCAAGGATCCAAGTGTAACCGATTATGACTAGTAATAATCAGATACATACAGATTAGAGATGCATGCGCCAACATCTCAGTGTCAGTAGCCAAAACAATGAGTCTTTCTGCAAGGAACAATATATTCTAAAATGAAATGGAGATCTTTTTTAAAGGTTAAAACCTCATTTAATTTTATGTCTTACACGGTTTAGAACTGAGTACAGTATTGTGTAAATGTAATAATTCAACTGGAAACCTAAAACTTTGCAGCCAATTTTGAAAGAGATGCATCTTAGCTCAGGAAATTGTTACTGAATATGTCAGTGCTGTTGTAATGAAATGTTTCTTCTAAGTATGTGGTTATTAAATAAGTAATTTAAAAATATTTTTTAAAATATTCATTTTCACTTTATGTGTATGAGTGTTATCCCTGCATGTAGGTGAGTGCACCCATGTTGTGCAATGCTTGAGGAGGACAGAAGAGGCTGTCAAATCCTCCGGGACTGGAGTTACGGACAGTTGTTAGCTGCCATTTGGGTGCTGGGATTTGAACCTGAGTCTTCTGCAAGAACAGTCAGTGTTCTTTACTGCTGAGCTATCTCCAGCCCATGCATTAAATTCTTACATTAGGAAAAATTGCAAAAGAAATTAATGAATTTTTAAAAAGAGTACATTAGGCCTAAAAAGTAAAGGAACTAGTGGTTGAATGCTAAAATCAGTGACACAGAAAGCACATAAGTAGTCTACTGGTCTATCCTGTTGCTTTTGGACAAGGTAGCCTCTTACGGAAGGAGCATGTACTAGAATAAAACCTCAAGGCTGGGAAGCAAAGAGAGGGAGCGACTGGAGTCCCATAATTGCCATTTCAGAGTACATGCCTAATGACCCAAACACCTGCCAGGAGATGCAACCACTTTAAAAGGTTCCACCACCAGGCAATACATGCATATACATAAAATAGAAATAATATTAAAAAAAAAAAAGTTTCCACCACCTCTCAGTAGTTGTAGACTGAGAACCAAACCTCTGAAGCACTGGCCTTTGGGGCACAGTCAAGATCCAAACCATAATAACGTGAAGTTAGTGCACTATGTCTACCACCAAAAAAAGAAAAAAATGTGTGATTATCTCAGTAGGTAGATAAAAGTTTTGACATGATTCTCTACCACTCCTTTTAAAACATGGCAGTTTAGGAATAGAGAACAGTGTGTCCATTTTATAAAGAATGCACATGAAAATCCTACACCAAACTTCCTTCTGACACTTAGAACCAAAGCAAAGACTTCTACTTTCCCATTCAGATTTAAGGTCATAGGTAGAACAGTAAGACAATAAAAATATCAAAAAGGAATTGAAAGACTGGAGGTAGTAAACATCATTAGTAGAGAAAAATAAAAATCTAAAAAATGGTCTTAGAACTGGAAAGTAAATTTAACATTCTCATAGGCTACCTTAAATGCACAAAATTAAATTGTAATACTTCTAGCCATGAATAATAGGAAGATGAAAATTATAAATTCCATTAACAGTGTGTGTGAAGCAGCCAGTCCATGCCCACATTTTACAAGACTTAATGTGACAGAAAGTCCATGGCAGAAGTGATGGTGTATCCCTTCTAAGATAGTTTTTAAGACTTCCATTCCCATCTCTGGTACTTCTTTACTTATTAGCTCTCACATCATTCTCAGAGAATGAAGCCACTATTTGTCATCAATTTGAGGAGCATTACAATCTTATTAATAGTACATTTTCTAGTATGTCCATGAGCATGGACAGCATTCTATTTATTTGGCTCCTAATTTCTTTTAATGATGTTTTACAATTATCTTGACCTACTAAATTTATATTATTTTCATGTTATTGATGGAATTGCTAATTTCATTTTCAGATCATTTATTGATTTTTGTACAGAAATAGAATGAATTTTTACAAATCAGTTTTGTTGCCTATATTTTTCCTGAATATAATAGTGGTAGATTTTTGTAGATTCCTTAGAATTTTCTATATATGAAATTGTTTTATCTTTAATAAAAATATTTAATTTCTTCCTTTTCAGTGTATCTTATATATTGTTAATGTTTACATGTTTATATACATTATAAAATTAATAACCTTGTATTTACTGAGCTTATATGCAAGTTCTACTTTCAAATACTCATATTCCTTAAGGAAGTATTATTTTGATTTTCATTGTCTTTATTTGTAAGATCAATAGATGTCTAAAATATTTGCTACATTTTAACAGTATATTTGTTGCCAAAAAATAATGCAAAGGAATCATGTTAGAAATTTTTTGAGTATCAAAATATGTGAACTTTGTATAAATCTGTCTTCTGCCCACCTTTTTATTTCCTAATCTTAATGCTTAGATGAAGAAGAAATAAGATTTTACTGCTGAATTCTTTTTTGGTTCATTGTTCACCAAATTATGGTTGTGATACTTACTGTACTTAACCTGATATTTATCAAATATTTAAATATCAAGTTCACTAATCTTTAGTTGTTTTAGAAAAATTTTGTTTAGTTTTTTGGGGGACATTGACTTGAATTTTCTGCTCCGTTTTGTTTTTGCTAGATATAACCCGAAAAAATCCAAGAACGCCTCTTTCTGATCTCCAGGGAATGAACACCTTAAATGCAAAAAACCAATAGTAAGTTTGTTGCGTATTTATAAGGAAATATGGAATGAATAACTACTATTAATACTTTCGGGTCTTGCTAAGTTTTCCATGCTGCCCTTCAACTTGTGATTCTCCTGCTTCAGCCTCCTGAGTGCTGGGATTATACACATGTGCCACCATGCTTCATTCAGATTTTTGTTTTCATGTATATGTGTGATGTGTGTTGTGTGCATGTTTGTGTGTAAGGGAAAAACCTTGTGTGCCACAGCATGTTTGGAGGTCAGAGAAAAGCTTTAGATATAGGTCCTTGTCTTTCACTGTTTGAAGCAGAGTCTCATTGTTGTTCAGCGCTGCATACACCAGGCTAGCTGGCCCACAAGCTTCTGCAGATTTCTTCTGTCTCTGCCTCATAATTTACCATGGAGTGCTGGGATTACATACACTTGCTACTGCGTCCAACTTTTAGATTTTTTTGGGGGGAATTACATTTTTTGGGGAGGAAGGCATGCCAGATGTGTGGAGGTTAGAGGAAAACCTGGGTAGTCAGTTCTCTCTTAACACCGTATGGGACCCAGAGATCAGACTTGGGTTGTCAGGTTTGGCAACAAGAACAAGTGCCATTACTTGCTGAGCCATCTCTGGTATTGCCTCTGGATTTCTATTCTTTTTGTTTATTTGTTGTAGACAAGGTCTCTTGCAGCGTAGGCAAGCCTGGAGCTTGCTATGTAGCCAAGGCTGACCTTGAATTCCTGATCCTCCTGTCTCCACTTCCCGGATGCTGAGAATATAGGCCTGCAGTATCACACCAGGCTTTGGTAGTTCTTTGTCCTTTTCTAGTATACCTGTCCAAACATCTTTTTCAGTGATAGTTTCTGTTGATATTTTTCCCTCTGAGTACACCATACTTTCTGCCTCCCTCCCTCCCTTCCCTCCCACCAGTTGGTAGGTTAAGTGGACATTTGACTATAATAGTGTAGAAACTGGAAATCAGATTATTATTCTTTCCCACATAGCATATTTTTTCTTTTGGTTTGGTTTCCCCTTGCTTTTTGTGTTTGCTTTTTTCTTTAAATAATTATAGGCTGTCTCTGTGGCCAGGATTAGCCCATGGTATAAAGTTAAGAACTTCTCAGCTACTTTATGATTCTTTTCTTTGAACATGTACAGTTATTTTCCAATTGTATGTACATATATGAATTGTTAATGTCTGATTCCCAAAAACAGAGTAGGAGAAGGATGAAGTGTAGCGACATAAAATGGTGGCCATCCCTTAAGTCCTCTGGAGTCATTCAGGTAGAGGAGAAGAGGGCTTGCAACAATGTAGAAAATGTACCAGTAATCACTACCCATTTGTTTTTACTTATGTGATTAAAGCAGTTATCAGTGTGTGTGTGTGTGTGTGTGTGTGTGTGTGTATGTATTTTAACATTTGAGCCTTGTGTAAGATGTTCCAAGATTGTGTACACAACTGTCTACTGCCATTTTGGGTGTGAGGGCTGAGTAGCTGCCCTGTTCTAAGAGATGAAATTGATCATAGTTAGTTGAAATTTAGCACACAAATTTTTCCCTGGAAGTTACAAGGCATCAACAGACTCTTAGAGTTCCAAAACACAGCAGTTCTCATTCAACTTTGCTTTCTACAATTTCAGTTTTTCATGGCCAACTATAGCCTCTAAAATATTAAATATACTGGGTGTGCTAGTGGACATCATTCATCCTAGCACTTGAAATGAGTCACTTGACACATTTTTACTATATTATTAATATTATTACTATTATTTATGTTTATGAGTGTATTGCTTGAATGTGTGTAAGTGCACCCGTATCATGCAGTACCCTTGGAGACCAGAAGAGGGCTTTGGATTCCCCTGGAACTGGATTTACGTACAGTTGTTAGCTGCCATGTGAGTGCTGGGAATTGAACCCAGGTCCTTTGCAAGAGCAGTGTTCTTAACTGTTGAGCCATCTCTCTAGCCCCCATTTGAAACATTTTTAATCCCAGTACTCCAACGGCCGAGGCACAAAGATCTCTGTGAGTTCGAGGCTACCCTGGTCTACATAGTGAGAAAGTTCTAGAAATTCCCAAGTTCAAAATTGCATGTCATTCTTTGTAATACATCATCCCCCTTATGTTAGTTTATTCGTATCGGTGTTCTATTTTATTGTTATTGTTGCTAATCCCTCACCATGGCTAACTTAGAAATGAAATTCTCATAGGTATGTGTGTATAAGAAATAGACTGTGAAAGACTTGGTACTGTCATTTTCCACTATCTCTTGGGGGATCTGTGGATAAAGGACAAGATTCTATAGCTTTACAGTATGCATTTAGTGTATCTATCTATCGTGTGTGTGTGTGTGTGTGTGTGTGTGTGTGTGTGTATAAAATACATTTAGTTTAATAGAAAACAGTGCATTTGTCTTGGATGCAGAGACACATTTCTGGTGCTTCCTGCCTGCTGTAGAACTGTTAACAATACTCCTTAAAATAACATTTTTTCTTCCAAGTACCAGGGATTGAATTCAGAACCTTGCTCATGCTAGGCCAGCACTCTGCCACTGAGCACTATCCTCAGACCCAGCCCTCTTTTTCCTTTTTTTTTCTTTTTTTAGAATAGGGTCTCTCTAAACTGTCCAGGCCAGTCTGGAACTCATACTGTAGGCTAGGCAGACCTTGAATTTGTAATCCTCCTGCCCCAACCACACAAGTAGGTAAGATTATAGTCCTTCATCATCAGACCCAGCTCAGCATGATGCTTAAGAAGCTGGTAGACAGGAATTAGGTGCTTTTTTCCTAATTGTTTCTTTATGATTCTTTATGCTGTTGATCAAATTTTATTCTTTTCCTCTTCCTTCTTGTCGTCTTGTATTTTCTTTGAGGCAGGGTCTTTCTATCCTGGCTGGCCTTATACTTGCTCTGTTGCCCAGACTGGTTGTAAACTCAGGCAGTCCTCCTGTCTAGGCTTCTCAAATGATGGGATTACAGGAGTGTACCGGCATATCTGATTTGTTGATTTAAAATTTTGTGGTTAAAATTTTATATATATTTGTTCATTTTCTTCTGCTTTTCTTATTAAAAAATCATCTGAAAGATAGGACAAAGTACTATTAAACATGATGTTGGTTATGTGTTTGGTTGTTTTTTTTTTTAACTTTTTACTTATTATTTTTATGTGTATGTGTGTATTGTCTTCATGAAGGTAAGTGCACCTGTGTCGTGCAATGCCCACGCAGGTCAGAAGATGCTGATGCATCCCCTGGGACTGGAGTTACAGACAGTTGTTAGCTGCCATGTGCATGCTGGGATTCAACCACTGTTCTTAACCACTGAGCCATCTCTCTAGCCCCTGCTTGTTTGTTTTTTTAAGATCCCCTATATCCCCTATTAAACCTTTGCACATGATGTTCCGCTGTTCCTTCCAAATACTGGTGTTTTAGACAGTCTTTACTAGAAAGCATTTGACCACATTTGATCTTCTGTTTTATCGATTTTCCATCTCTTAATGGCTTTGTTGTAAACTGATCTTTCTCCGATTTCTGCACCTCTAAATCTCTTGTTACTGGTTAAATATCTTGAAGTTATCTGTAATTCTCTCTCATACAATGTACATTTGTTCTGTCATCAAGCTATATCAACTGAAACGCTATCTGGAAATTTTTTTTTTTATCTTTTATTTTTTATTTTTATTTTATGTTTATGTGTGTATTGCCTGCATGTAGGTGAGTGCACCCGTGTCATGCAATGCCCGCGGAGGACAGAAGAGGCTGTTGGATCCCCTGGAACTGGAGTTACGGACAATTGTTAGCTGCCATGTTGGTGCTGGGATTCGAACCTGGGTCTTTTGCAAGAACAACCAGTGTTTTTAACTGCTGAGCCATCTCTCCAGCCCCCACTACCTGGAAAATTTTAACACAATTTACCATTCCCATTATTACTTTGGTTCAAGAAATCATTAGGTTTTCTGTGGATTATTGTAGCCCCTGTCCTAAAATAATTGGTTTTTTTTCCTAGTCCTCCCTACCTGTATTTTATACAGTTGCTAGAATGATTGTTTTCATATCTAAATGTTATTGTTTTCCTTAAAATCCTCAGTGTTTCTTTTCCACCCATTCCTGTAAAAGCTAAAAGTCCTTAGGCTACCTCTTTTCAAGTATATCTCAGCTCCAGCAACATGCTTATCCCAGGAATTTTGTGTTTGTCCTTCTCTATAAAAAGATAACTGCTCAAGATAACTGATAAAGAAGATTTTCTTCTTTATTTCCTTCTGATCGCTATTAAATTAATTAAAATTTTTTTGAGACAGAGTCTCCCTATGTAATACCCGAGGCTGGCCTTCAACTCCCTAATGTAACCCTCAGTGTCCTATAATTCATGAGCCTCCTGTCTCACCTTCCTTGTCTTGGGCTTTCAAGTATCACCATACTTGACATCATCTTTATTTAAATTAAGCTTATCATATTTTATTTTTCTTCTTTGTACAGGTTATTTGATATATAATGTGTTTTCCTACATACTTATTGTTTCCCCATTATAAGCCAGATAATGGTAAATATTTTAATTTTGTATGTAGATTGTGCCATGATAGAAAAGTAATTGATGGGGCTGGAGAGATGGCTCAGGGGTTAAGAACACTGACTGGTCTTGCAGAAGACTCGGATTTGAATCCCAGCACTCACATGACAGCTAACAACTGTCCATAACTCTAGTTCCAGGGGATCTAACAGTCTCTTCTGTCCTGTTCGGGCATTGCACGACAGAGGCGCACTTACCTACATGCAGGCAATACACATATACACATAAAAAAAAGATATTTTTAAAAAGTAATTAATATGTAGTTGGTACAAAATAGTTATTTAAAAGACTAACGGATGTATTCTGCATATTCCTGTATCATATATACTTTATTTTGAGAGTTTCTGGTTTGCTTTCTCAATATTTGTAAGAGTCTTTTAAGAATATTATTTGTGGGGCTGGAGAGTTGGCTCAGTGGTTAAGAGCACTGACTGCTCTTGCAGAGGGCCTGGGTTCAATTCCCAGCGCCCACATTGCGGCTACGAACCATCCTTATCTCCAGTTCCAGGAGAATCTGAAGCCCTCTTATGACCTCCGTGGTATTGCATGACACAGGTACACTCACATGCAGGCAGTACATTCATACACATGAAATTAAAATAACATTTTTTTTTTTTTAAAGAAAGAATATTACTTGTGATAGGGGCTAAGAATTCAGGGGATTGCCTAACAGTGCCCGGATCCTGCCTCCACGTGGTGATAAGAGTTAATACAATTTGGGAGTCTTTTAGATAGACCCACTGAAGGGGTACTCCAATTACCTTACCCTACATCCCTGCACAGCATGGAAGAAGCCAGAGAGGTCTGCGTCCCGATTCCCTATACACAAGTTGGGTAAAAAGAACCCAAAGAAAAGTAGCCAGTTTTTTGGCTAAAAGTCACAATGTCCTTGGGCCTCTTAGCAACATACTCCATTCCAAAGGCCAGAAATGTCTAAAGTATTTGGGAGCTTTAATCCTTAAAAGATTTTAGGGTTACCTCTTCAGAGGGAGAAATGTTAGAGTAGCCAAAAGCCCCATTTAAAAAAAAGGAGAAAGAGTACATAAAGTTACCAGAAAAAAATGATGGGGAGATATGGGAGGAGTTGGAGGTGAGGGAGTGGGCATGAGTTTGATCAGAACACCTTATATGCATGTATGAAATTCTCAATAAATAATTTTTTTTAAAAAAAGAATATTACTTGGACCTCATTCTCCATGCCTGGATTATTTTTCCTTCAAGTTTTAAACATTTCAATTGTTTGAGTTTCTTTATCATGCTAGGGGCTTTTGTAGATGCCTAGTGAATATCAGTTAACTATTCATGTTTAAGATTATGCCTGGCGTGGTGGCGCATGCCTTTAGTCCCAGCACTCGGGAGGCAGAGGCAGGCGGATCTCTGTGAGTTCAAGGGCAGCCTGGTCTATATAGTTCCAGGACAACTGGGGCTACAGGGAGACCCTGCCTCAAAAAGACAAAAAAAAAAAAAAAAGATTGAAAAGCTGTTAGAAATATCTGATCACTTTGAGTGGGTAAGGCCATTTCCTGAAACATCAGTGTGTTTCCCTTTTGTGTTGACAGAATTTTCAAAAATTTATGCTAATTCATTGCCTAGATTATATAATCCCAGCTGTTGCCATTTTTGGAGAAGTTGGATAAGAAAACTGAGGATTTCTGTTTTCAGTATTGCCCTCAACTTTTCCCTAGTATCACTATCCTCACCTCCCCATAGAACCTTCCATATTATAGACTTTCTCATTTGTCCCTTGTATAAGTAAAGAAAGAATAGTCAAAGCCTGAGAAAGCAATATGCTGCCCATATTGCAAAGATACATTGCTATTATTTTCTTAATTTATTCTCTTTGTTCTTAAGTTTTTTTAAATTTCTTTAAAATGTTATTTGTATTTTTCTGGTCTTGCTGGAAAGATCCACGTCTACTGTCTTTATGTGGAAAGTGCTTTGTTAACTATAATGCTATAATCACTGATAATTTTATGTGTTTTATTTAGTCTAGTGCTGATAATAGTGCATATTAATTTCAATGGATGTGTTGGTAGTGTGTGTTGGTGTGTATGAATAAGATATCTCAGGAAGAAGTTAGACAATCCATAAAATTTTGTGGCCTATTAGTATTATAAATTCCAGTGGCAGCATTTGAAAGTTGTATAAAAGAGGAAAGCTATTTTATGCTCTATTATAATGTATATAACATGTGTCTAACAATATTTAATAGTCGTTTGACTATATGATGTGCTCATCTTTTGTACATTTATATATGAATGTGTCAGAATCCACTTAAATTTCTTGATGGCAAATTGGTCCCACTTGATTGGTAATCATAATCATTCTAATAAAATTATTTTCTGCTCGTTAGCATTAAAAAACTTAATGTTTCATTTGTTACTTAATAGAGTGTTAGAGATAAGTAACTAAAGCAAATTATGCTACATTTTTTTTCACAGCGATACATTTGATATTTCCTGGAATGTCAAAACTGGCATTTGCCAAAGCAGACTACCAAGTAGCTCTTCCTTGCTTGATAAAGAAGGGATATTTGCTAATTCAGCAAGCAGCAAGCTCCTGGAAAGAGCTCATGGAATTCTCACGTCAGTATTCATTAGTAATATACATTTTTAAATAACTTTTTAATTTTCTGGCTGAACAAATGAGAGATGAAGTATTGTTTTCATGGGTGTAATTTTGATTGAAGTTACTGAAATGCGCTTAGTATTTAAAATTTGCTACGAAGAATGCATTATAACATGACTCTTTTTTGCTGTTTCAGTTTTCCTTATCACCAGAAAAAGAAAAAAAAAACCTGCATAAACATATTCATTATGGAGATGATTCTTTATTGTTCTTTTTTTCTAGAGAAAGAAAATACGTAGGTGTATTTTTTTTTAGAGATTCTCAGTTATTGCTGTAATTATTCTTTTAATTTAAATCTAGCAGTTCTTACACTTGGGCAGGAAATTCTCATGAAGGTGGCAAATGGTACTGGATGTAGTAGTATGTTGCACCCACACACACCATTCTTCATTACCTGATCATGGAACTGGTTTGAGGACACAGAGGTAACCATGCACGATGCTCCATTAAATAGATTTTAGTTAATAACATTACATATTGGAGGCATTTCCCAAGCATACTTTTTTGACCATTTATCATAGGTGGTAACTGAATTGAATTCCTGCAACCCTAAGACGTTGCTTAATAGTGTTGGGTTTAACTTATGTAAGCCTTGCTTTCCACCAGAAATGTGTGTTAATACAGTTCTCATAAGATCTTACTCTAAGAAATAAGTAGTATTATCCCCATTTTACATTCTGTCATCATGAAACCAAGATTTAGAGAAGTTAGACTTAACACTTTAGTAGGTAGACCTTAGGTACTATTATAGTTATTTGTAACTTCTTGACAGCTTATTGTTCATAAGCATTGGGCTGTATTCTCTATTTTCTGAAGCCATAATGAAAGGTATTCGTGAATAAGAAGAAAATAAAAGAGGGGCTGGAGAAATGGCTGAGTGGTTAAGAGCACTTGCTGCTTTTGCAGTGGACCTGGGTTTGGTGCCCAGCTTCACATGGTGGTGAACAGTCATCTGCAAACTCTAGTTCCAGGGGCTCCAATGCCCTTTTCTTCCCTTCACAGGCTTTGCAGGCACATGGTGTGCTTATATACATGCAGGCAAAACACTCATATACATACAATTTTTTGAAAAAGAGTAGAAAATTTTTAATTTTCAGAATGAGAGATTATATTTTGCTGAAACATGTATTTTTAATTTATTTCATTTTATTTTTTTACTTTTTGAGACAGGGTCTCCTTGTAGCCCCAGCTGGCCTGGAATTCACTATGTAGACCAAGCTGGCCTCGAACTCACAGAGGTCCGTCTATCTCTGCCTCCCAAGTGCTGAGATTAAAGGCATGTGCTACCACCCCTGGCTGAAACATGTATTTCTAAACGTTCATAAAATTTAGGCATATCATTAAAAATATTTTTAAAAATAAATTTTCTATTTTTTTTGTGTGTGTGTATGAGTGAATGTATTGGCTGCATGATGTAAGTGCACCCATGTCATACAATACCTATGGTCAGAAAATAGCGTTGGTTTCCCCTGGAAATGGAATAACAGATGGTTGTTAACCACCATGTGGGTGCTAGGAATTTAACCCAGGTCCTCTGCAAGAGCAGTCAGTGCTTTTCACTGCTAAATCATCTCTCCAGCCCCATTAAAAGTCTTTTAATGGCAGAAATAAATTTTTATTGTAGGTATTAGAAAATAGAGCCTATCCAGATGCAAGAAAATAAAACTGTAGCTTAGAATGTACAATAGTATGGTACTAAACTTCTGGCTTAAATCTGTATATTCCTATATTACAAAGTAAGTGTCTCCTTGCTTACTCTTTATTCTCGAAGGTACCTGCTTGCATGAGTCAGATTACATTTTCATATCGAGGATTCCCAAAAGTGGATGGTCAGTCAAATTCAGTAGAGATTTTGAAATACTCATTTATACAGTAGTATTTTCTAATGAATGTTTTATATTTATAGGCGAAATAAAAACTTCAAATCCAAGCCTGCCCTTCCAAAGGTGAGTATTCCAGAAAAAAAAATTTTCCTATTAGTATCCCATTAAATAACCATTTTTTACTGACCAGCAACCAGTCTTTAGAAATTAAATATAAGAAATACCTTATTTATATCTGAGATAGGGACCATATACTTAGTTGACTGAACTTTAGAAATAAGAATGGCCATTATGAAATGGACAAGCTCAATAGTTTAGTTGAATAACTACTTATGATAAACATAATTTTCTGTTTTAAAAAATTAAAACTGGGGGTGGTGACACATGCTTTTAGTCCTAGCACTCAGGCAGAAGCAGGCAGATCTCTGAGATTGAGGCCTTCCTCATCTACATAGCAAGTGCCAGGCCAGCTGGGGCTACAGGGAGACTCTGCCTCAAATAAAAACAAAGTCTCTTATCAAAGAAAAGCCCAGGAGGGGTTGGTGGAGGTGGCTCAGTGGGTAAAGATGCTTGCTGCCAAGCCTGACGACCTGAGTTTAATTCCTGTGACTCACATGATGAAAGGAGAGAACCAAATCCCACAGGTTATGCTCTGATCTTAGAATACAGGCTTTGGGATGTGGACCCCACCCCCAATAATTGGGGGAAAAAAAAAACAACAAAAACCTGAGGCTGGAGACATGGCTCAGTGGTTCAGAGCACTGGCTGCTACCTGGGTTCAAAATACATTAAAAAAAATCTGTAGTAACCAAAGTGATATTAAATGCCTATAAAGAGAGACAGGCTGGAAAGGTGGCTCAGTGGGTAAAAGTACTTGCCACAGAAATATAAGGATCTGTTATCTAGCAGTCCTTAGTGATATTTTTCCAGAAAACTGAGATATAGAACTTAGCTAAGTGCCTGTCAGTAAGTGGATAGATAAAGAATATGTTACTTATAACCTCAGTGGACTACTACTCAACCTTTAAACAGGAATTCTGTGATTTGCAACAGTATTAACCAACTTAAAGATCATTATGCTTAAAGAAGCCATCTGTCAGAACCCTTGAATTGAGCCACATTCAGCATTTAGTTTGTACATATCCATGTATTCATCTCTAAGATGACATGTAGGCAATCACTCTCTTATATAACAGGTTATCTCAGTTTGCTGCACAGAAGTATCTACCTGAAATGAGGGGTGGATAATGATTGCATATGAGGTGAAATAAAGATCCAATATCATCTTAGCCTGCTATCTTTTAGCTCTGCCTCTTCAGCTAGCTATCAAGAAGTCAACTGCCTAGCCAGTTTTAGTTTGTGACAACTGCTGCCATTCTGTTGTCTCTACTGTCTCTTGGTCCTAACAACTCAGCCTGCACTATTAAAAGTAGGCACAAGAGCCTGGTGTGCTTGTACACACCTTTAATATCAGCACTCTGGAGGCAGAGGGAGGTGGGTCTCTGTGAGATCGAGGCTAACCTGGTCTACGTAGTGAGTTCCAGGCTACATCTCAAAAACTAAACCACACATACACCCCAAGTAGGCTTGAAAGGACCACTTGAGAGATGGGTTTTATTGGGCCCAGTGTTGCAACACTAGGTAAGGCAGCACAAAGTGATGTCTCCCAGGACCTGGGCAACTTGCCTGTATAACTAGAGAAAGAGTATTTGGTCAGTCATGGTACACTTTGCATGTAAGTTATGGTTTGTGTTTGTGCCATTCCCAGCATACCACCCATACAAAGAGAGATCTGTGTTTGTACCAATCACCACCTTTTATCTTTAGCACCAGTCATAATATTCCCACTGCTAGGCCACTTTGACTTTGGTAAATGGTTGCAGGGTCATCTAGAGTTCATTGAAACATAGGGTCGCAAAAACTCTCATACAAATTGTTTGAAACACCCCTACCTAGCTGAGGCTTGTGTCTTCAGGAACTGGATCAATCAGCTACAATCATTGTGTAATTTTCTCAAGGTGTACATGGAATGCTCAAATACTGCCTTTCCTTTTTCTTAAGGTAGCCAAAGCAGCAAGGGAGAATCTAGTAGCTGCTGATTAGGGACTCAAATTGCCCCATCCCCTAACAGCTGTGCCTGTTTCTAGAAAGAGGAGCATCAGAAAGAGTACTTACATTAAGAACTTGAAGAACTTGCCAACACTAGTAGTAATCTCCACAGATTTTTAACAGTGCTTAACCCAGGGATTGAAGGAAAAGTGTATCTGTCTCATTTCTTTGGTAGCACTGGAATTTCATTTAAATTTCTGTCACTAGAAGTCAGGTTTCAATTGGAGATAACAGTATTCACTGTAGACTTTTCCTTTTTTTTAACTGGAATGGACTTATTAGACACTTACACACTTGTTAAAATCCTTAAAGATTTGGAGTAGAAAACATCACTGCAGAACCAGCCCCAGTTGTATACAGGCCAGGAAATGAGGAGGAACCTGCCAGTGAAGCTGCTGCTTATCAGCACTTACGACCTAGTGTAACGCAGGGATGTCAGAGAAGCCACTACCATCTGCTTCAGGACTAAACTGTACCTACTCTACATTAGTTGTAATGACAACACAGATGACCTGTGGTCTGCCTCTGAACTCTCTGAAAACTGGTGTCCAGAGATGGGGTCTGCAGAAGACTAAAAGTGCCATTATGTGTACTTGGCAGCAGAAACAGCTTCAGTTCTATCTTTCTAGTTTCCAATAAGGATGTTTGGGAAATGTAAGCCACATCCAGAACTCTTGATGTGGCAGTTTTGGAAGAGTAGTATAATTTTTACTGCTATAGCTTTTGGAGGAAGGAAGGAAAGAGGGAAGAGTGGATATTGAGACAGTTTTTCACATTTCATCATATCATGCATGAAATAACCATGTACATAGGAAATGATAAAAACTGGCTGGTGGTATTTTATTAATTTATGTAAAAAATGTTTTCCCCTTCTTTTTAGCATTTGTTGGAAGTAAATTCTTTGAAGCATCTGACAAGACTGACCCTGCAGGATCGAATCACCAAATCCCTTCTTCATTTGCACAAGAAGAAGAAACCACCCAGTATCAGTGCCCAGTTTCAGGTTATTTTCTATTATATTTATGCCAAATAAGAAATATATTTCTTTCAGGCTATTGAAAGATCAAGGTGATCTGCAAGATATTTGTTAGGATCCTCTTCGTGTGTCTAAGCAGCCATAGGTCAGTAGTCATTTCAGAAAGAGGCAGCAGAGATGGAGAATAAGTCATCTACCTTTGTTGGCTCTCATTCAGTGTTAATGAGTAATTATCTTCAGTGTAAGAAGTGAGCAGAAAAATATTAACACCAGTTCCTTTATAGCGCTTACTGTTTCTCTCTCTCTCTCTCTCTCTCTCTCTCTCTCTCTCTCTCTCTCTCTCTCTCTCTCTCCCCCCCCCCTCCTTCTTCCACCCGCTTCTCGCTTTTG